GATTGAGGTTTTCGAATTTCAACACATAAATTTTCCAAATTTTTAAACTTTAAATCCTCACGTATTGAAAAATTAATAGTGGTTCTAATATAGAAACAAACACCTCCACCATGTCGGTCTCTATCTCGGCGAAGTATTTCATACCCAGGGATATGTATTTCGCAATCATTAATCGAATTATCAAGTTTAGTTTCGTTGATTGAGAAGATATCTACTGGATAATTGACAAGCAGAATTCTCAGTTCATCTATATGTTTTATCAATCGTAGCTTCGATTCCCACCGTGGCTGGGCATATTGTTCAAGCTCGCCCAGTGTAGATATACACTCAGAGTAACATCACGAGCATCATATTCACCTGAGTACACAACACCAACACAGAAAAAATCAAAATAAACATTTGTACTGCCTGTATTCAAATGAAATTCTGGATATAAAGGCGCTTGAAAACAAGGAATATTTCACTCATATTGATTTGTTGCGAACTCTGAAGAATTCACAAGTTATTTACGCTATTGTGGAATCGAAATTCTGAATGTTTGGCCAAGCGGTGAGTAAATATAGGAGTCAGTTATATGATTGTTTCGGTTTGTGTGATGCTTTGACGGCATTCGACCCCCCGTTGAAAAGGTTATTTCATTAGGATTTCAATGGTATTCTTTGTTTTAAAGGGGAGGGTGAATACGCGCTGAGATATTTACGTTATAAACAATTAAGTCGTAAAATCGTCAAAATGTCGCTTGTCGATAAAGAGTTAAAAGGAAGTCACAGGCGGGCGCGGGCAAATAGAGCCTGGGCCTCCTGTGGCGAACAGTGTCCGAGTCAGTGTTTATCCAAATTCTGACACCCTAACATTGGTAATACAGTAAGTAATGTGTGAATGACAAAAACGTATATATGCAGAAATTTAATAGTTTTTTTCGCATGAGCCCTGGAATTAATAGACGCGTTATCCGGAGCATTTGAGATCAGGGGCCGGTTGTACAAAACTCTTAACTACATTTTAACAACAATTATGTAGTTAATTAAATAGCAGTTATTAACTCTAAAATACGTGATTTTGATTGGTGAAATTTTGTGCTGACTGTATGTAGCTTAATTAAACAACTGTCCCCATGCACCAGTTTGTTGTTTGGAATCACGTCCGTGAAACTTACGTCTATAAATTAAACCTGGTTTGTTTCCTTTTTTTTTTCTTTTAGGCGAAAATACATTTCTATCGCCAGTGCCATCATATCAGTCCAGGATCAAGAGTGAGTATACTGTACTTGTTAGTTTTAAAGTTAAGAATACATACTGCTATTTCAATTAATGTTGTCCCCGAGCATAGCGGAAAAGTCGAATACGAGCGCGAAAGGCTTTCTGGGAATCGCTAAAAAATTAATCAATTTTTTAGCTATTCCCACCAGCCATTCACGCTCGTATTCGACTTTTCCGCTATCCTCTGGGACAACCTTAATGAATTGAAATAGCTGTATATAACTAGAAATACATGCATGCAAGCAAACTGCAACCCCTTGGCTTATATTATCCGACTTTGTTTTTGGATGAAGTGTTAATAAATGGCCATTATAATATAGCAGTTGTAAATTCTGAACGCTGATTGGCTAAGAGCCGTGTTGATATAACTCAATGTCAGCACGGGAATTTTTCCGCCGCTTGTAAACACGGACATTTCTCTTATCCTTCGGGTTTTTGACATCGCTATATAATAAACAAAAATATAAAACATTTTTCCGTAGTGATATATAGTTATATCTCATTCAACACTCGTGGAAGTTGGGAAAACTCGAAATTGTATGAAAACACTCCGCACTTCGGGCGTCGTGTTTCCATACAATTTCTCGTTTTCCCAATTTCCACTCCGGTTGATCTAACTGTATATCAACACGTAAAATGTTTTATATTTGTTAAATATTGAACGCAGGCTCGCGTTTGATGTCTAGCGTCATAGCCACACGATCATTTTAAAGTGTTTAAGATTATTATATTTTCTCTTATGCGCAGGCGACGTGACGTGAGAAATTGAATACGAAAATCGTCAGTTGCCGTCCATACAGCTAGCGTCATATAAGTTTGCTAATTATGTTCCATTTTTCCCAGGAACTCCCAATAATTATGGGAATCGTTTCATTATTGGGTTTACAGCTCCATATTACAGTTATCGATATTATAATGATTATATTGGAGTATCAATTCTTGCTCCCTACGACACAAATGTTACGATCTTTGGTACTCAGTCAGGCAAGCCATGGAACTACACTGTTCATATTAAAGAAGGAGAAAGTTTTGAGTATAAACTACCGATTTCACTGCGAATGGAGAAATCAATATACCTCCAGAATGGTATTGAAATTTCATCAACGAGAGATATTTCAGTTTTGTGTTTAAATTATCAACAGGCTGTAGGCGATGCGGACGGATACTTGGCTTTACCAGCCAACACGCTAGGTGTTGTTTATGTTGTTGCATCATATCAACCGTATAGTTCGGGCGATAGAGCGAATATCGCCGTAATATCTGCACATAACAACAACACGGTTATTGTTCTTCCCAACAAGAATGCTGTCATATACTATCGCGGTCTCAGGTATGATGGCAGTACATCGCTATTATACATTACCCTGCTCCTCGAAAAACTTGAAGCACTGTACATTTCGGGTTCATCCGATTTATCTGGATCAATAGTTATCGCAAGCAAACCAGTGTCTGTCATATCTGGCATAGACCGTGTACGTATTTCAAGAAATTATGACGCTTTTCTGGAGACGTGTCTATTACCCGTTTCATTGTGGGGATACCAGTACCTCTTAACAACGGTTGGAATGTTGAATAGAAAACAGGGGGATATTTTTCGAGTCTTTGCGTATGAAAATAATACTGTCGTTGAAAGTGCGTATTGGACCAAAGTTTTGTCATCCGGGATGTATGCAGAGTTGGTATTAGAAAAAAATCTTGCATCATTTGTTAACTGTAGTAAACCATGTCAAGTCGTGCAATACATCAGAGGCGAGTCAATTGGTGGTAAATACGCTGACCCTTCAATGACAGTTTTACCATCAGTAAGCCAGTTCCTTTCTTTCTACCGTGTGGTACTTCCTTATGGTTCGGCATATCATGATTCCATTACTATAGTGATTGAAAATAAACATGTAGAAGGTCTATATATGGATGGGCTTAAACTGAATCGCTTGGAATGGAAAAGTATAAATGGAACAAATTATGTATGGACAATAGTAAGTTCATCCGACCCAGATGCTGTTACAGTCTATCATACTTCTTCGGCAGTAAAATTTGGTCTAGTCGTTTTTGGTTGGAATGGTGCTTCTTCTTACGCGTACGCTGGGGGATTTGGTTTTCGTAATTATTCAAATGGTAAGTCAGTTTATTTGAAGTTATTGTGTTCATGATTTTCTTCACAAACCGTTTCAAACCTTACAAAAATGCTGCACACGAGTCTTTTTTCCTGTAGATCAGTCAAATTATAGAGAATGAATGTTGCGTTGTGAACGACATGCAACCGCCTGGAGTAACGGAACTTCGACCTTTCAAGCGAATCAATGCTCTTCGTCGGAAAGTTAGTTTTGCTCTAACAATATAACTTTACGATGAAGGGCCTTCACTCGAAATGTCGAATTTCAGTTGATTTTTCAGGTCGTTTTATCTCCTTCACATGCACCACAGCTGGCTGATACCATATTTACTAACACGGGCGCCGTCCATTCAAAATATAGCTGCGACGTGTCCTTTGCACACGATATTTCCTTCTAGTGTTGTCTGGCAAAAAACGTTTTATTTAAGAGACATATTGCCCCGTTGACATTTTTGCGGAATGGTCATTGAAACGAGCAGAATTTTTTGTTACGACAGAACAATTAGGCGCGCAAAAGACTTTTTCGAAAATTGCTTTTGAATGCACTTCAGGAATCTTCTTTGCCCTAACCTATATGTTTGTCATAGGCGGTAATTTTTGAAATAAGTGTTATCTTGATGCAGCGGTCGTCACTCGTTTGTTTGGAACGTGGTTTCGCTTACAATAGATTTTTCGCCTCAATTTCTTCCGGGTCGACATGTTTTGAAATTTTGTATATATGGTTTAATATATCCTGCAGCCGAGTATTTTACGAGTTTCGAAATTATTTTCCCGACGCGGAGGGAAAAAAGCGGCAAACGAATAAAATGGACGACAGGATTAAATTGCAAACCTCAAAGAATAGATCTCCTGGTTTTTGGAGCATTTACTGCATTTCGTGATGTAAACGGTAAAAAATTTCAAATGTCTCAAAAAGAAAAAAATGAACAGGTTGCAAAGTTGCATATCAAATTAGGAACAACTTAACAATAAGGTCAGCGTTCTTGAACGTGATTGGATAAAATATCGCAAAGGAAGAAAACCTGTCAATGAAGTTCAGCGAGCAAACCAAATTTCTTGTGCCATAAACAAGAAAGCTGTATGCCTGTTTTTATTAGATTATTAAACATACCGAAATATGAACGTTATAAAAATTATTATTATTATTATTATTAAAACTTTATTTACACACGGTATTCTCATCAGGATTTAACATGCAACAAACTAAATGAGATAAATTACAAAAATAGAACCACGCTAAATAGAAAATATAATACCTGCTTTTCACGAGGGCCGTGTACTACGCTAAATATAACAATATATACAAAGAAAGTTAAAATAATTTGGCACAGCCCGAGAATTAACTGAAGAAAATGTACTTTGACAACAGATGTAAAGGTGAGAATAATTTTCCCGCAACCTGATCGAGAGACGTCTTTATTAGATCACTATACTGTACTGCAGTTCTCGCTTCCTTGGCTTATGCGCCATGTAGACGTGGCTCAGAATAGAAATAGCCTACAAGGTATTTTGAGCAAAACGTTTCAAAGTTATTTTTGCTTCAAATTGTTACGGAAATTCGATTTAGAAGTTCAAAATAGCAAACACCCAGTGTCTTATCAATGATAAACAACGTTGTCTTAAACAGTGAAATGATTTAAAAAAAGTACTTTCAAAATGAGAAAAGCGTCTAAACCTAATAAGGGTTGTTGATGCGCGAGCGACCATTATCCAATCAGAATCCAGTGCGTGTCTTGTATCAAATAATTTATAGCTAGTCATGCTGTTCGCAAGAAGCGTGAACAAAAAATACAGCGCGCGTGTAAAAAAGAGGAGAGTGGCTTGGTAACAGCCCAGTCATGCACGAAAGTTGCGTAATATTAAGCGGCTACTGTTGCTTCAGGTTTTTATCTGACCGTTACAGCAATTATATGACGAATAATATGAAAAGACCATAAATAGCACACGGTTTGCTGTGTTGTCTTGACGTGTTGCGAGTCAATGTTCGTCGAATTTCTGACAAGGCAATGGGCTCCGAGTGAACTGTTTATCAAACTTCTGACAGATTAATATTGATGAGACAGTAAGCAATGTGTGAATGACAAAAACGTGTATACAGAAATTTAACAGTGTTTTCGCTGACGGTATATAACATGAGCACTGGAATTAATAGATGTGTTATGCAGTGCTTTTGAGATCAGGGCCCAGTTGTTCAAAATTCTTAACTACCTTTTAACAACAATTATGTAGTTAGATATATTGTGGTAGACTCAAATGCGTGATTTTGATTCATCAACTTTCGCGCTGAATGTACTTAGCAACAACTGGCCCCATCCAGTATAGTTTGTTGTTTGGAATCACGTCCGTGAATTTTAGGTCAATAACTTAAACCTCGTTTGTTTGGAATGTTTCCTTTCAGGTGGAAATACATTTCTATCGCAAGTGCCACCATATCAGTCCAGGATCAAGAGTGAGTATACTGTACTTCAGCGCGCTATTATACGTGAATTAGTTGGCGTATGAACAATTTGTTTTCATATTCGGAAAGATCAGGCTTTTAACTATTGAATGACATGCTTTTCATGACAAGTGGAGAGGAGAAAAAATAAGCATGTACGAGGCCGATTAAAAATGTTAGTCAAAATCGCATATTTTCACCTCTGTACCTAATTAAAACAATGCGTAACAAAAGAAAAAGCAATTAATCACGAACTTGTCGTAGCTTATAGCTAAGATTTATTCCGACTTAATAATAATTATGAATATGTGTGCAGTTTAATGAAGTGAAATTCATCACCTTAAGTCCTAAATGGGATTCATTTTCAATGGTTTTAGACCCAACTCTCAACGGTGAAAATATGCGATTCTGACTAACATTTTTTATCGGATTCGTATTTTCTCATTTTTTATCCATTTGGCATGAAGAAGATATCATTCAACAGCTAAAAGCATGATCTTTCCGAATGTGAAAAAATCTCGTTCATACGCAGAGTAATTCAGACACAATAGCGCGCTGAAATTCGATTACTTTTTTTGATACACCCAGTATATGTACTATTTACAAGTTGGGGTATGTCCACTTTGCTAGAGTGCCCAACACAGAGATTGTGGAGCGAATTATATTTTGGAATGTGACATTCAACTAATTTAAAAACGTTAAAAATATTACAAAATATTAAATTTCGAATTTTTAAATATTTTTAAATTAGTTGGATTTCACATTCCAATATATATATATATATATATATATATAACTAACTACAGACGGTACCGTTTCGTCCTTTTGGGCCTCAGCAGGACGAAAGTAACTAGTATTAATAGTTACCTTTGATGTCTCACGAATGTGGGACATCAAACCATTCCCAGAGTGCTCAAACTGCAAGCAGTGAGCGTGCGCAAATGCGTTAGCAGCAATGGCTCATCCTGTGGAGTGCTCGATATGACCTAAAGGCCATAGAGCAATATCTAACTACAGACGGTACCGTTTCGGCCTTTTGGGCCTCATCAGTGTAGTGCTGGGCAGGACGAAAGTAACTAGTATTAATAGTTACCTTTGATGTCTCACGAATGTGGGACATCAAACCATATCCAGAGTGCTAGCTCAACTGCAGCACGCAGTGAGCGTGTGCAAATGCGTTAGCAGCATATATATAATTGTGTAATTGTACACTCTGTAATATGTTAAGCCGCGGCAGACAACATCTTTCTGCTTGCGCTGGGTATGGAAATTATATAGTACACTCTAGAACATTTTCATCTTAACATATTACAGAGTGTACAATTACACAACTAACATAACACTTGCAGAACTAGTATTGTTCGATGCTGAATTAATATAGACGAGTATGTTTATGACATTCAGGTTGTTTACCATTTACATGGAAATTCCAGTGATTCCATACGGAAAGTAAATGGACCAAGCATATTTCGATGGCCCAACCGGAACTTTTCAGGAATAAACGGTTTGTTTGAAAAGGTTGTCCTTTCTTACCGATTGGAACGTTTCAAGCGGTGAATTTTGTTCCATTTACATCTTTTTTATTTTTTCACCAGTTCCATGCTCTTCGCGATTTAATTCAAATCGGATGGGTTTTCCATGTAAATGGTAAACAACCCTTCAGTGCCTTCCGGTCAGTCACTCTAAATGGAAAGCGCATAATCCGAATGGAATTTTCTATCCGAAATTTCGCTTACCATTAGCACAATTTCAAATCGGATGGGTTTTCCATGTAAATGGTAAACAACCCTTCAGTGCCTTCCGGTCAGTCACTCTAAATGGAAAGCGCATAATCCGAATGGGATTTTCTATCCGAAATTTCGCTTACCATTAGCACAATTTCAAACCGGATGGGTTTTCCATGTAAATGGTAAACAACCTCAGTATATATTTCATAATTTCCAGTCTTAAATCCGTCTGACCGTGTAGCTCAGTAGGTAGAGCGTCGATCTAGTAATTCGAAGGTCGCGGGTTCGAGAACCAGCCGCCGCAGAAAACATCTTTCTGCTTGCGTTGGGTATGGAAATTATATAATACACATTATAGAACATTTTCATCTTAACATATTACAGAGTGTACAATTACACAACTAACATAACACTTGCAGAACTAGTATTGTTCGATGCTGAATTAATATAGACGAGTATGTTTATGACATTCAGTATATATTTCATAATTTCCAGTCTTAAATCCATCTGACCGTGTAGCTCAGTAGGTAGAGCGTCGATCTAGTAATTCGAAGGTTGCGGGTTCGAGACCCAGCCGCGGTAGACAACATCTTTCTGCTTGCGCTGGGTATGGAAATTATATAATACACACTCACTCTAGAACATTTTCATCTTAATATATATATATCTATATATCTATATATCTATATATCTATATATCTATATATCTATATATCTATATATATATATATATATATATATATATATATATATATATATATATATATATATATATATATATATATATATATATATATATATATATATATATATATATATATATATATATATATATATATATATATATATATATATATATATATATATATATATATATATATATATATAATATGATATATATAATAATAATAATATAATAATAATATATATAATATATAATAATATTATAATATATATATATATATATATATATATATATATATATATATATATATATATATATATATATATATATATATATATATATATATATATATATATATATATATATAATATAATATATATATATATATATATATATATATATATATATATATATATATATATATATATATATATATATATATATATATATATATATATATATATATATATATATATATATATATATATATATATATATATATATATATATATAATATGATATATATAATAATAATAATATAATAATAATATATATAATATATAATAATATTATAATATATATATATATATATATATATATATATATATATATATATATATATATATATATATATATATATATATATATATATATA